GCAGCGGGTGGAGTGGCTGGGACGCTCACCTGCGCCAGTAGATAGGTGATGTTTCAGACACTGCAGAACATCTTCAAGAAAAGAGACAGTCAGTGGCCTAAGTTAGTCTTTTTTTTTGCCTTGTGGCTGGGTCAGAGAAGTTCAAGTCCCAACAGGTCTTGACTGGCCAACATGGCAGGCTGAGGAGCACCCCTGCATCAGACAGCCTGTCTCCCTCGGAGCTGCAGCAGCACCCTGCAGCCAGCGTCCATCGCACCTCCAAGGGGCCCTGCTCCCACTGTCACTGGAAGAAAACAGCCAGAGCTGCTGTTCTGCTGTATTTTTCACAGCTCTGTGTGTCTTGCTGGTGCATCCTATGCTTTGTGGAAAATATTCCAGGGGTGCTCAAGGTAGCATTGCATTTCTTAGCCCAGTACCTCATAAATGACAAGTAAAATGTGTGCAAGCCTGCGTAAACCTGTTCTACCCATTTCAAGACATTTGAGCAGTTATGTTCAATGTGAAGCAGGTTCAACTCAATTCCCGACTCTCTCTCCCTCTGCTGCACGCATGCAAGCGGATACTGCCCGAGTACCACCTTCCCATACTCACAGATCCCAAACATCAAGTCAGCTTTGGGTGGGAGTGGAAGGCAAAGCAGCTTGAGGGGCCTCTGAGTTACACCTCTGTAAATCCAGAGCCATTCCAGGGGAATCAACCTGTACCAGCACCGGCAAATTTGTTCTTTGAGCGCAGAATGTTTGTCATAGTTGTTATTAAATGATGCCTTTACATATTCCAGGCCTATTTTTAAAACAAAGGCAATGAAGTTAGGGCATCCAGTTCTATATATGGACACTCCAAATGGCACCGAAATGCCTCATGCATGTGTTTGGGTGAGTGTTGATTTGGGTGTCCAAATATGGACCTCAGAATGGGATATCTCACTTGGATAAGCATCCTTGCAAATTTGGCGCATGGCGCTTATTTCAACAAAGCAAATTTATTTCTATCATTTAGCATGGAATAAGCACAAAATGTTTTCATTTTGAGGGACCTTCTTATTCACAGAATCAGGCCACTCAAATACTGACGTGTGTAGTAGCTCTGAAAAAAATAAAGCCCTCAAAATCATCTAAGACAACACAGGAGGTAATTAATGCAGAGTGTTTGCGGCACGCAGACCCCCCTCTTATCGCAAGGGCAAAATTCTCGCTGACAGCAAGAATTCAGTGCCAGCAGCAGGATCCATGCGGCTCAATCACAGCCAACTCCCCCCCTGCCCCGGCAGTGTGAAGGGATGCACACTGGGCTGGCTGCTTGGAGACCCGAGGCAAAGCTGCCTCTCTCTGCTCGTGAAGAGAGTCTCTGCATCTTGGGACTGCGCGTGTGCAAGAGCTGGAGTGGTCGCTGTTGCATGCAGGAACCTTCCCCTGTATCTCCCAGTGCATCGGGATTTTCTTTGGCCCCTTGATGGTGAGCAATCCAGGAAAGAGCTTGGCTCGACGATCAGGTCTTAGCGCGCAATAAATAATGTCAGCAGCGAGCGAGCCCCGTTCTGCAAGGCTTTGCTGGGTTCCCGTTAATTGCGAAGGACCTTCGTACATCCTTTGTGTAATTCTGTTCATTTTGTTGGCGCCGTGCGAGGGATGGATTTGGCCTCAAAAATAAAGCAGGTTTCTTTTGCATAATGTATTGTACCATTTGGTCTACATTTTGCTGAAGGTTTATGTGTACTTCGAGATTTCTCCCCAGATATGCAGCTGTAGATATTTTTTAAATAGAAAACAATGAACTGATGCAACTGTCCAAAGCAGTTGTTCAGATTCTGAATTTTGGGGTAAGTTGTTAAGAAAGTGTAAGGTGGGCAAATTTTCAGGAAAGCTAAGGTAACTTTGTGATCATTGGAAACGCATGAAGCCAGCTCCAGTCTAGATGGCTTCCCCTACCTCTGCTGTCCTGATGCTTTTTGACAAGCTGATTCCATTTCTGGAAAAAGCAGTTCACAAGACAGAAAGATTTCTCTTAAAGAGTCTGTTGTTTTTCAGAAGAGTGAAAATGTGTGCTAACAATTCTGGACCACTGACAAAAGCAAAATCAATACACACGGCCTTCATTTTACAGCCAAGTTCAGATGAATAAATAGAGATGCAGCAAGCTGTTTGCTAGGGAGACCAGCTTTGCTCTATGTGCCCTTCCAAGCAGGCACGCTTATGCTGTTGTTGCTTGCCTTACATGGCTGGTTAATGAAATCAGTCAGCTAGTCACAGAGCTCACCGGACATTTCAACCCCCTCCATCAGCAGCGCTGGCCAAGAGCTGGGAAGCAAACGCTGTTGCGCGAGGTAGCTCAGGGCCTGCAAATACGTTGCCGAGTTTTGGGGGCATTTGGGAGGAGTTTGGTGCTTTGAAGAACCTAGGCTTGATTTCAGGGGGAGTTCACAGACAGAAAAACCCCGTCCTCACAAAAGGACAGGAAGAACACGCTCGGTGCCCGTCCCCAAATGCAGCACCAGCAAACGGTGCTTGCACGGATCCCCTTGAAGTGAATGAAGCTGCAGCCAGTGCATCCACCTGGGGCTCTTCTCTAAGATCAGGACCTGACTCTGCACTGTGCTAACTGCGTGGGGTTTTTTCTTCCCCATGCCTTAAACACTGCAGAAAATGAGAGGTGACGAGGGAGGAGCGAAAATGGAAGGGACGTAGATACAGCCTCCAAGAACACTTACACATATTTTGCTGAGACTTCCGACTGAGTTTTCTTTGATCTGTGACCAGGCAGGCAGAGGAATGAATAGCCGCATGCACAAAAAGGAAAAAAAAAATAATAAAACAACAGCACATTGAAGTGCATTTTTTTTTCTTGGAGATTTATTTTGTTTTAACAAATCTGACACGAGTCAGGGAGAGAGAAAAGCGTTGCAAGACCAAAAGGAAGGCAGAGCACACTGAGGGTGCTGCAGATTCTTGCTCTCGTGAAGATGGTTCATCAGTATCTCTTTGAGCTCTCTCCCTAGACTCAGGAGTTGTTGGATTTCCCCCTCTTTTCTTTTTTTTGGTTTTTTTTTAGGTTTTTTTTTTTTAAAAAGCGAGCTTACTCGCCCGGTGTGTTTTCCAAGCTTTCACAGCTCTAATAAATAAGGAGCACCTGTAAAACAGTAGCTTGACTTAAGTGAATCTGTACAAAGGAAAATATAGAAATACAGTATATACATAGTGCTCATAGTGCACCATCACTACAAGGCTCTGGTTCAACTGACTCTGCTACCCTGCTCCCAACACCGCTGACACCGTCGGAGACACTGCTCCTGCCCACTGCTCCTCACCTCCCTGCAGCAGCCTTATAGAAAAGGTGTACTCTGAACACTCGAGAGTGAACAATTGCTTTATTCGAGTTAGTAAACAGTTACACTGAATCACAAGGTGATCTGAATTTTTTTTTAAGTTCTTTTTGTTTGTTTTTGTTTTTTTTTTTGTGGGGTTTTTGTGGGGGTTTTTTGTTTTTTTTTTTTTTTTTTTCTTTTTTTTTTTGTATTTGTCAGAATGGGATACTCCACAACTCTCTTACCAATTCAGTGCCAGTATAACATGCTCTAGTGTACTTTTGGACTCTTGGCTACAACTGTACAAGTGCACACAAGTAAATTCTACCCTGTTATCCTCCACCCACTGATTGAGGATCGAATTGCACATTTCTCTTAACCATGACAGGAGAAAGCAAACAGTGAAACAGAATCATGGGGGATCTTTCTCACTTTACCCTTGTTTTCATTGGTTTGTCCATACCATTCTAATTATCATGAAAGGGCTATGCATATGGAGAGATTGTCTCACTGCCTTCCTGGATCACTGAAAACCATCAGGGTTGAAATTTCATCCAAGTCTTTCGTGACGCCCAGCAAATATTCCCCTCGGATTACTTTACACCTTGAGGGAATTTTGGTCTTTAGTTCAACACTCTTGCTCTGTTCCCAAATGGGGCGCTATTTAGGGGAATTTAAAGAGAAAGCTGAGAAGAATAAACATTTACTGAGTTCTCTTGGCATTCAGTCTCTGAAAAACCACAGTATAAACTATTCATGCTGCTTCTTACATCTGTCAAATCAAAAATTAAAAGCCATAAAAGTGTAACACTGAAAATATGGCATTAGAAAGGATAAAGGTGGCCTTTGTAAAAATAACAAGGAAAGTATATTAGCCAATAAAATATTCTAACTCTTCATTTAAAAGTGCATCATGGGTAGGACAGAGATGACTCTGAAGCGTTGCTACTCCAGTATTACCCCTTTCCCCCATCAAAACTTGAATAGGTCCAAAACCATACAATGCAAATCACGATTCTTAGTGTAGCAGCAAAACCACAGCAGTTTTTCGAAGGAAAAAAAAAAAATCCGTATCATTGTCCAGTCTCCTCAAATATCTGAACATTGAAGTCAGAGAGGGAAAAGTACCTATGTTGGTCCGTGTGGTTTTTGAAACCAGGGTGAAAAATCCCCCCCAGCAAGAAGCCAAGAGGAAAAAGCGT